CACACACACACACACACATACACACACAAACAACAACAACAGCAGCAACAACCCCCCCCTCCCGAAACAAACCCAAATATATTTGAAGAAACCTTAGATCTAACTGAAATATCATCTCAACCTAAACACTCAACAGCACAAAATCAGAGCCTTCTCTCTTTTCAATACTTTTTCTTTAAGAGACCAACATCAGAGGCACAACACAAGGTCGACAGCACTGGCCACAGATATCAAGAAAAATAATGAGTACCAACACTGAACAAAGAATTGGCGTAAACAAATTATGTACCAAAAGCGGCAATGACAACAGGAACAACGGGCAGAAATAGCTAACCCAAAAATACCCTGCACCCAGACCAAAATACAAACCTAACAGCCAACCAAGAGGGAAAATAATAACCCAATGCTGGAACCATAGATACGAAAGACTGATAGAAATATAGCCTAGATCACAGACAGTCACGGAAATTATCACGAAGCTCAGGATAATTAGATCTACAGGAAGAAGGCAGTCATAGCCACTAGGTGTGAACACTGGCGTCCATATTACCTGGCAGGCCTAGAGGACGTATTACCTGGCAGGATAGAGGACGATACGGGAGTGATCTCAGACTAGCTTGCGTGTCACTCGTGATTTGATCATCCATTTCTGTTGTTGTATACCGGGAATATTCTGTAAGCAAGATTGCTCTAGATATTTTGTCTCGCTTGTTAGCTGTTCACAGAAGACTTTCGTCCTTCTTTTCTTTCTTTCTCGTTTCTCCTATCTCTGTCTCTGTTTCTCTCTCTCTCTCTGCTCCTCTCTCTGTTTCTTTCCCCCCTCTCTCATTCTCCCTGTCCCTCTTTCTAGACTCTTTCTACTGTTTGCAGATGCACTTTTATCTATCTGTAGCTGTACTCGTAGCCCAACAACATTTCTAAGAAGTACAACTTAACATCGAAAGCTCTCTCTCTCTCTCTCTCTCTCTCTCTCTCTCTCTCTCCCTCTCTCCTGTAAAATGTTGCTTTCAGGACTTAGCCTATTACATTGTAACAGTTTGAAAACGTATTGCTGCTCCTGCCGTCACAGCTACAACTGGCACAGCTGTTGCTGCTGCCGTAGACTTATGGAGTCTATGCCAATCGCATTCATTTGAACCAGTCGAGGCCACAAGTTGGGGCCATTCGGATTTTCCATAATTGATGGAGCAAAAGCTACCGTTTCGGTACAATTCGACGGCATTCAAATAAAGTATCATACAGCCGACTGTGACCTGTTTATTCAAATCAAATACATGTGGGCCTACATTCAAAATATGCATGTACATATTATATTTGGATTTCAAATCAAGGTCGCTAGTCGAATTGACTGCGTTGTGCCAAAGTGGTTACTGTGGATTCTGCTCTTCCATGACAGTGAATCTGGCTGACCCCAAGTAAATCAAATGAATTCGATTGGCAGTAGGCCTACATGTAAAAGTATGCACTCAATTTTAGACCCATGTGTGCCGCTGTGGTTCTCACCCCCGTGTCCAGGGGTCACGAGACAGGGTGTCGTTCTGTGTGACCGTGAGCAGAAGAAGCTGGATGGGGAGACTCGCAGCCCACCGCCTCATGCTGACGTCATATGGGGATAACTTCCAGTCAACGGACAGCCGGCGAGGTGACTTGGTGCTCCTTGTCTTTTTCACAATACATTGTACTCAGGTCAGACTATGATATTGAGTTCCTGGCGACAAGCAGACAGAAAGTAGGCTCTACGTATCTTGGAAACCGGCTGGTGATAGTGTGGAGGTGGGGCCGGGGGCGTGGACAGCAATCCACTCACCATCCTTCCGTAACACTTATCTGTCTACTGTCTGCCTCTCTACTTGATAATGTATTCATCCATTTGTATATTACAGTTATAAACAAGTACAGGATGCATTTGTGCAAATGTTCATGTGCGAATGTTATGTGCATGTGTTGAGTTTTGTCTCTCAGTCCGTCTGGGTATCAAGTACATATAATATACATGTGCATATTAGTGCCAATTTATTTGTTACATCAACTCGAGATCTCCTCTCGAACATGTGGCAATGTGAATCTGTCTATCCAATGAATTTCTCAGCGCAACCCGGTAATCGATCGTTTCGATTCGTTTTCAATCTAGTCGGCACGCCTTCATGAATACACATTTTCTTAAGAGAGAGAGAGAGAGAGAGAGAGAGAGAGAGAGAGAGAGAGA